ATATGTTGATATAAAATGCGCTATGAAATATGTTAATATTTCATTTTCGCTGTTTACAACATAATGAAAATGCGGGTGACAGCAATATCATGAATGGATAAATTGGAATTTACGAATTTTGTATTAAATCAATATCAATAAAGCTAATAAAAGCTTCATGCATCATCACATAAAGTTACTAAACTTGAAATGTATATATGTATGTTTCAAATATTTTGGTTCTTTATGAATGAGTAGACAAAAAAGATATGCTTTGGATGAAGAGTATTAATTAAATTATATGAGAAGCGCAAAATAAATATTTAATACGTCAATAAATTTTACAGTGCATTGATATATTAGTTTGTTTATTTTTTTGTTACCACTGCTCTTCTTTTTAATTTCCACTTTATTGCATCTTTTGTACTTTTTTAGAGTGTTATTTTTATTATTACATAAATTTTTTGTTATAATTTTACATATCAATGGACTTCAATAAACACAAGTTAATTAATCACGCTATGCTTATTATATCAATTAAAATTTTGTTGCGTTTTGAGAAGTGTGTAGCGCTCGTGTTTTACCGTTGTCAAAATGTTTACGATACATTACGCTTGCATTTCACACTTTACCACGCTACGCAAGACTTATTCACAACACTGTGCTTTATTTCGTAAATCGATCCTGCGTCCCGCTGATGTTATTTACGGGCTTTCTGCCAGATTATGTGAGAGTCATTCTATGAAGATTAAAACTTGATTGTACTGGTGTTCGAAGTTTAACATGCCCGATGGGAGATGAAGGAAAGTGTCGTTAGAGGAGAAATTAGCAGAGTTATCCTGTATAACGTCATTTGATTCTACAGTTAATATAGGAATAAATTTATTTCAAATTTAGCGGTGCGTTAAGAACGAATTATTATAGCAGATTTTGTACGAATGTTATATCGGAAATATAATATGGTTTTAGTTTTCAATTTATATAATAGAAATTATTAGAAGTAACACTTTTTAAAAATAAAACATTTTGTTTACAAGAAATGGTTAATAAATTAATTATAGGGATTAAATAAATAATTAAATATTGTTATTGCTGAAAATTATTATTTATGTGATTATGTTGAATTATTCTTGAACAATATTAATTTTATTTGGTTAAATCTTCAATATATTATAAGTATATGTATTCATCAGGAGTCTTGCGCTTTTCTCTTATACGGCCAAATACAGCATAAATTACAATCTAATCGCATTAGCAACAGAACAATAACGCTTGTCTACTACATGCAGCTTTCACGTTAGTTTCTATCAGAAGTGTGTATAGTAATGTATGCATATGGAGATGAATATATTATACTATTAAGAATAGCACATAACCTGTGCATATCAAATTAACGTATCATTTCGTGAAAACGCATAACCATTGATAGAATGTCTAGTTTTTATTTTTAGATAATAGTTCTATAGTTGTGGATATAGATATATATATATTTCTAGAACATAGATCTATAGTTTTATAATTCTGTCTATTATTATCGTATTTATAATGGATATCAAGGCATTACGTTAATCGAGATTTACAAATTTTCTATTGATTTTAAAAGCATTCTCGTGTAATTGTATAATGATTTAAATATTTTAGCAAGGATTTCACAGCTAAGCTCTCAGAACTGAATAGTTTATTAATTTTCATTTATTTGAAATGATACGCCAATTCTATTTCTAATCTGACACTTTTATAATATTCAGTATTCATAAGATGAAAGAGTTTAATAATAGTTATTGACATCGCTGATTTAAAATTGTAAAAGTTACAATGTCAATGCCGAGATTGAATTAAATTTGCGAGTGCTTGTACTTACGTTCAGAGAAAACTTTTGTATCCATCTCTAATTTTACTCTCTAACGATAACGGACGTAAACGATAACGTCCACAATAGTTGAGACACCGGATATTCGATGAAATTCTCGCAGCTCCTGTTTCATCGAATTCAATCCTACGGGATTTCCATTGGTTACTACTGCGGAATGGAAATGTGTCAGGCTATTGGCTGCATGCTATTTGAATGGATTTGAGTCGAGTGTTCGGTTAACGTGTCCTATCTATGGCCTACGGTCATCCCTCGATTTGACTGGCACTTTCTTTTGTTCTTTTCACAGCAAAAAGACACATAAGTAAAAAGGAGTGAGAATAATTAAAGAAATAATTGTATTGTGAATGGGAGTCAAATGCAAAATTTCATTTGCACGGTTTTACATAAAGTTTTAACTTCTCTATTTAAAGAGCATTTATTTGATCTACTTTTGTACTTTTAAATAACACTGTACATGCAGTTCTAAAATCCAATTTATAATAATGAACTATGATATCTTTATAATGATTTACTGAGCGAAAGTGTAACAAAATTCTGCACATGCTATAGTCCCCATTAACATGAACGGAACTTTTTGATAAGCGACTGTATATTCAGCTTTCCGAGCGGTTGGTGACACGGAAGTAACGCGCGATCGATTATGTCAACGGGATGTAAATAACTCTACTCTACATAGGAAATGGAAGTAAAAGTATCACCAAGATAGAGATTGATGATTTTCTTTACTATGTCATGAAGTAATATTTTCTCGTGTCATATTATTGTTGATATTTGAATAGAATATAAATGAAAATATTAGACCCCTTGTGATGATTATCATTATCAATATTTTACATCTTTTATCTTGTAATTGTATTTTTCCAAAAGACAGATCAATTGGCATTCAGAATTGAAAAAAAAGACTATTTTTCTTCTCTGTTAATGGATGAAAGTCATTTGCATATCGGGTGAGGAAAGGTGTGTATATATATGTGCGTGTAATACTAAGCTAGGTTTAATCCTGCACGTCTATAATCCTAGTGGACAAAGTGAATTAGCTAGATTAACAAGTTAATCTGGCAGTTTTCCGGCAGCTGGCTAATTTGTACATTTAGCGACTATACGTACCTGTATTATATACGACAGATCCGAAAAGAGGTCTCCAGCGAATTGAATGAGGTTACTAAAAATAAGATCAAAACCTTCTGGGATCTGGTCTATATATTCAGTGTATCAATTATCGATTAAAGATGTATTTAATAATTTTACGAACGGAGAAATTGGTTATTGGATCCATTGGGAATAGTAGTTATCAAGGCGTTAATATCTTTCGGAGCACTTTGTTCGAACTTTCTTCTTCGAGATATTCGATATTGGAAAAGAAGTGTAACGAGGATCAGACCTAATGAACATTTCATGCTTGGTGGACGTTGCGAAGATTAATTTGATCAGCAATCAAGCACGAGAATCGGATTAGGATTTGGTGCACTTGTGCGGGAAGGCAGTCATTTGATATCCTTTTATCTAGAGCGACGCGGATTAGCGAGACTTAACATAGTTATTGTTATCGTAATCCTCTTGTGAAACCGACAGTTTCATAAACATTTTCTCGCCTCGATATTATCGTGCTTTACTAGGACGAGGAGACATTCTAAAGCTTTTGGATTAAAAGAACATTTCTTTCATTAAAGTGAGATCGTTTAAAGCGATTTTAAGAAAGAATTTATGTATACATTACAATTCTTTATTCTGGGTATGCATATATAGAATTCGTAGCGTTTTAATATTTTACATTTTTTTAAATTAAACACATTTCACAATCTTTATAAAGATTTTTTAAGATTAGCAAGTTTTTAATTTTTTATTTCATGCATCTCTCATTTTGTAAAGCCATGGTATTTTGTATGTTACATTCAGGTGTGTTCTTTTGTTCATAGGATTTTGAATTCTACGAAAACATTTCTGTAATCAGCTTTTAAAAATTCATGTTTATTACAAAGCATACATTTAATATTTTTGCAATATTTTATAAATGTTTGTTATTATAAATGCCATTGAAATGTTTTCTTTATTTTTAACTTTACATAATTTCTGCTATATTTAAATTATAAAAATATGCAACTGTTTATCAAATTTGACAATTTTATTGCTTTTTTGTACTGAATCATAAAAAATTAAAAATGTTCTGTAATTTTGCCGCAATATATTTTTAAATATATTGTGTTCAATGAGCAGCATGTAATACAAGATTACATGTTAATTAGTCCACCGGATACTGATGGTGATCTATATGTTTATTCTGATGAAAGGTCGTGTAATGGTTGCTACAACGAACGCGAGAATAGAGCTCAGTACGTTGAAAGCTTACAAGCGATCGATAGGTTCGTGCGGCAAAAGGTAGCTACAGCAGCACGGCAAAAACAGGTGATCGACCTGTGAATTATTGTTTCGCGGAACATTATACAAAAGATACTATTCTCTAAGCTTACACTTTCGATTTCCGACATCTTTGTGCAATAGAAAGAAACTGAAGGCTTTTTTAATAGAATTTTCATTGTATTGGCTGTTTATGTGAACGTGAAGCTGCCTGGAATATCCAGTATAGATTTTTTAACGGCGTTTGGAGCAATAGAAAAGCAAGATTATACTTCCAATTGCGTTAAGATTATTTTTGTCAATTAATACTTTTGCAGACATATGTTAGTTCTGTGTGTTAAATACTCGTTTTTATTATTCTTGTTTTTATGTTGTATTAATGACATTTGTATGCATTGGGTAATTTATAAAAAATTAATTATACTTGTGCTCGTAGTCAATGTATTGTGAAACAGGAAATTCGACTTGCAGTAATTTTGGAGTGTGAATGGAAAATATCTAAAAAACGCTCGTTATTTTTTTATAGTTTGTGCCATGCTTTTAGTCGATATAAACTTTTGGATAAAGAAAGCGTTGTATGTACATCGTGCGTTGACTTCTAAGTCATTAGACTGCAATTTGCAACAGTTTCAACGTTGCATCGATTATATAGACTATGCGCTGCGTCACTGTTGCATGCTGCAAGCACTTGCACGTTGATTTCGTATTATATAGTTGCTGTATCTTACGACAGGGGTTATTAACCGCTTAGAACCTGGCAATAATGACCATGTCATTTTGATTTATATTGCAGAACGTCTTACGGGAGCTGGAGCAAAAGAAACCGCAATTGGACGAATTGGTTCACACTGCTGAGAACTTGCGCGCTGACACGAATCGACAGCAGCTGCATGGCAAAGGTAAGTTTTTTTTGCACGCAGCCATATATTTTTCAAGTTCTTATAACCGCCGTTATGACGGCACATTCTGTATTGTGTGCTTAACGATAAACGCGAGAACAATCTTATTTTAATATCTTCTTTAAATTGAATGTGAAATGTTGTTTGAAAGTTGGTATTGCGATATCACACGCGTACAATATACTTCAGTCTTCTTGTATGTATACTCGTTTTTTTAATGCTGTGCAAACTTGTGAGAACTCCTCGTTATCATTTTCTAAAAAAGTGCCTGTTATTTTAAAGACCATTCTCCATGTATCTTCTGCTGTCATTGCGCAAATATACCAATTTTATTTATTAAAATATAGACCGTTAACGCACGAAACTGACGCGTTGAGTGAGTTACTTTTTCGAAGTAAATTTACGATGGATTTCTCCAGTTTGTTGTACATTAATTAAACTGTTACTGTATAAGAAAGATACAATATAAGGTTGAAATATGTATATAGAATACTCTCAACCTTAGTACGTACATGTCTATGAACATACTACGTATTGCTGTAAAATAATTTCTTAATACGTAATTGAAGAGCATCAATTTTTAGAAAAATAGTTTAGTTTGCCACTAATTCAATTTTCAAGCGCAAATTTCATGCGTTGAATATTAAAAACATTTTTACGGAAAGTGTTCGATAAATGTATTGGTATCTAATGGATTTAATGAGTTTCTGTCGTCATAATTGATACTGGAGAAGCAATCCTGCCTACGTAGCGCTTTCCGCAATCGAGCGAAGTTTAGAAGTTTAATTATCGGCTTTGATTGCTCGCCCGAAGACTGTAATAAATTGCAGTAACTGCCGATCGATGTAAATTCGGTTTGCAAATTATTCTGAAATTAATTGTTATGCATCGATTTATTGCTGAATGTCGAGCGCGAGTACAATATAATATGAAAAGATTAACACGCGGTTTGTCACAATTTCTAAATTTGTCATAATTCTTTATATTGTTTAATTTTATATATATATATATATATATATGTGTATATTAATTTTTTAATAAGTGACACATTTTAATTTTTGCTACATATATTATATATCATACATACATTTTTTATTACATACGAAATACACACGGCGAGCTTTAATTGTGTAATCAGACCATGAAAATACGTTAATAATTCATAACATTCATGCATTTTTGAATAATCAAAATTAATTAATTTAAAAGTTCTATCGCACTTTTACAAACTTTTAAATTCAACGTGAATAGGTGCAATTTGAAGTCGACGAAGGAGGTTACTCGCAAAGCCGTTAATTATTTCAAGCCTTCTGAAATTTTCTCTTTTCATCGGGTATTGTTCGTTGTATATTAGCGTCACAGTGTTTGTTAAATGTGTCTGTTTCTCTACCACGGTGCATTATAACTAGACGATTCATTCATCCATTGTTTACTACATTCGTCTTTTATGCGAGTGAAGAGAGTACTGATGATATATTTAGAAATATATCTTCGTGTATTGTTGCCTTTCATAGTACGTTGAGTTATATTAATTTTAAATAACTGGTTAAATACTAGTTTCAAATAGGATTTATAAATAAAATTATTGTTATTAATTTTTTAACGTTATTGCTTTGTGAGTTTTATTTACAAGAAATGGAATAGAATCTACTAAAAATGGGATAAAATCTTGGGTTTTAATCGAAAAGAAAGTAATGTTTTTGCTAGCACGTAGAATGGCGCGTTTAATAAATCACATCGATCTTAGGTGTGAGCTTTTTATTGGACGAGGTGGACAAGGCTTATCAGCTGATCATTCGTTAGAACCGGCTCTACTTGCGACTTAGAGTAAATTTTTTTCCTTTGACTATAGGTTACTGAGGTAGCGTGTCTACTTGTTGGACTTGAAATCGCTTAACACGCGAGATTGATTCTTTCTGCTGCATAACATGTGCATTTCTGCACAATTAACTTTTGAATTCGATTAAATGTGCTTGTCAATCATATCAGTCATATTAGATATTTTATATCGACAGTTGACAGTAGACAGCTGCATTTTTTCCATTTTCTTTATTCAAAATGGAAAAAAAGTATTATAGATAAATATAATATAGAAAATATAACTTTATAGAACAAAAATTATTGTTAAAAATAATTTAAAAATGAATTTATTTTTTGTTTTTAGATTTCGCATATTGAGAACATTTTTAATCGAACATTTTACATAACTGTGGAATTGGAAATTGTCGATAACGGTCGATGTGTACATTGGAGGATTTAACCGACTTTTCGCGAAATTTACGAACATTTTTCATAATAGGCAGATTATCAAGAGCGCGTATGCGTGGAGTGTTGCCGTTGCCTGTTGGGCTTTAATTACGAGCACGAACCCATACGGAGCACGCTACCATCCGTACATTTCACCTGCATAGATTGCAACGCTCATCCCTGGCTATACGCTGGTAGAGCCGCTTTAAGTGGCGTTAACTCGCACCGTCTTGGAATTGCCTGGCAAAGTTGTCGGTATTCTCTCAGTCGGTTCCTACGGCATTTTAGCCCCTTCTAATCAGTGTAGATTTATGCGCTTCGGAATGCATATCCGATGCACCATAGTCGTATCGCGAGACTTGCCTTACCACGCTGCCGATAAGTCGTCGAGAAATGAACTTTATGCGGCAGTGATATGTGACATCTGGTGGACTTTTTATAATTATATTCATTCATTTTTTGATAAATATAAAAGAATTAGATATCAGCATTTTGCGATGAGTGCGCAATAATAATTTATTATATTAACTATTATTTTTTTGTTACTTTTAGTTAACAGTCTGATTTTTATGTTATGGATTCATCATGTTTTCTGTAACTCAAGTTTGCGGAAACTAGTAGAATCTACAATATCATGGTTATACATTTTGATTTGTCGCATTGTAACTTTTTGTTTCAAGAGAACTGCTGCAGTTTAAGTCATATGTCATCTACACACACACACACACATACACACGCGCGCGCGCGCGTGTGTGTGTGTGCAAGTACATCAATATTTTCTTTTCAAAATTTAGTTTCGGTATCTTGTCGTAACTTTAAAATAACTATAAATTACGGGTTTCGAACTTGCAACAGTTTAACAGTGTAATCTACAGTGCATACGTTTGCATATTTCATTTAGTGCTTAGCTCGTAAATCAGGAATATCGGGTAGACATAATACATCTCGCCCACATAATGAGTTAATTGCCGCTGGGTCCGGAATATCGCCGCTACCTATGCCAGCGCGTGGCTCTTACAATTTGCCCAAATAAGCTCAGCAATTTATGTTCGTGCCGGCTGGGAGTTCTAGAAATCGATTTGTCTCAACATGTTGGAGTTCGTTGCCGCTTGGAGCTAACGATCGATGCTGGTTTACGATATTTAACGTTGCACCAAATATTCAGTGAAAGTCTTTGATTTTTTTTTTAGATGATATCAGGCAAATTTATTTAAAGACAAGCGCTTCGAGAACGAAATCGTAATTTTCGCTCGAGGAGATTTTAGAGGCTCGGTGCTCAGGAGCTATATGAGTATCCGAGCGGATATTTTCCACCGAAGACTGACTTATCGATTTTCTTTCAATCGTTTCCAGCTGCCCGTCTTTTTACGTTACTTCATTCTCCGAAAGTTGCCTCGGTAGATCCTTGCTAGTACGCACAGTCGTCACATCGATTCCTTCTCGTTGAATTCCGTATTCGCTACCGGCACTTCTATGACTTCCCTGACGAATGACTAGAGAGAACGAAATAGAGGAGAGAGAAAACGTCTTGAGATAAGCCAGCCTGTTTCTATCTCCGCGGCTAAGACGCCCGGGAGGAAATGTCTCCTCGCGTTGCTTCCACGCGTAGTTTCACTTTATCAATGTTGTTTGAAATTAAAATCGATCAATTAGTTCAACTCTACGACCGTTCGTATTGCATTCTAGTTACGACGTTGAGAAATTTCCTGCGCCTTTCTGAAATCGGAATACTTTCAGCTAAAGTTCGCTGTCATTATTCATGTGTTCATAATTGCTCCATTAATTCAGTCATTTTGACATAGGATCTATTATATTATTTTTATCTTGTTTAATATACTTTAATAAACATTTTTATACAATGCAATTAATAATTTTGAAGAAAAGTATGTTTTTTTTTTATCAAACGATATTTTTGAACAGCTTACGTAAAGTTTTTTCTCCAACATTTAGTAAAATAAGTATGCATACATAAATTTGAATATTTACATATTTTGTTTATATAGACAAACGTGGTGAATTTATAAATACATTTTTTCTGGAAAAATATTTAATTAAATTGCTGAAATCAGTATAAAATAACGTAGTTAGTGCAGTATTCATATTTTTTAATATTACACAAATGCTCCTTTTACAATGTTCTTTACAATTACTTTAGAAATACTATTTAGGTATTACAAGAATTCCTGCGGCTAGGTCGGCATTACAATATTCCCGGGTTACAAATGCCTATGCATTGGTCGTGGCAATATGGTGATGCATCAGTCGTAGTTGATCTATACGTCGACAACGTATACAAAGGACACTTCAAAATGCACAGTGCTCGTGTGCATATAGTCAAGAGAAGTTGGAATATGATCAATCTGTTATTTTTCATATGCTTTTGTTTTTTTTGTTTATTCTATTTATTTATTTTTGCTATTTCTTGAAATTTCTTTTTCCGAACATTTTACGCGGTAACTCAAAATCGGTATCTTTGCTGGCCTTTGCAATTTTACACTTTCTTTTATGTTTCATCATCGCTTCATCCAATTCACATAACACAAAATAAAACTGTTATTCTGTGAATAACGGTTCCCATTTGCTGCTTTTGTCGATGAAATATTCTAAAAATACGATACGCACGATTGCATGATGGACGATTGTTAGTCTAATAAATCTCGGTTTCGAGATTACAATATAAAAATTCGATATAGTTGGCTCGTTTATTATACAAATATTTTCGACGTGATTTTCGCTGTACTTTGATAATTTTG